AAAGAACCTCTCAGTAGTATTTCTGTGAAAATTCCTGACTACCGAACATTTAGTCCATGAGACTGTCCTGGCTGCTGGGAAGTTAGACTCAGCGTTACATTCATATTTGTGACCTACTCCGCTTCTTAAAACGAAATAAAAAGCTATAAATTTATCTGACGTCCAGTTCCAGCATGACGAATGAAAAGTAAAATAGCATGCATGACCAAAAAATAGATTCGTGACTTAAATTTAACAAATGATACACCATCTTTTTTTGTTTTTAGTGTAATAAGCTCGTAATTGTATTTAGCTTCGTCGAAACTGCTCGTGTTACCAAGTACACCGTTTTGTTATACGCTTGCGGGAAAATCACAATTTCACAAGAGTTACAGGTGAATACTGGATTAATGACTAAATACATATAAGAAAAAAAACTTAAGACGAAAGAATCAGAGAAATATGACATTAATTCGTCGTAAGCGAGGGAGAAATAAAAATATCTAGTTTCCCTCGAGGATTCAAACTTCGACATTCAAATTTTATGATCTAAAGCTCCAGTCCAAAGCTACAGAAGCCCTCATTAGTGAGTCGAGACATACGCTGGGTTCATATTTGACAAAACTTTCCGCATTCTCCTGGGATCTGAATTGTCGAAAATTTCATGTCTGAAAGTAGATAAAGAAAGCGAGTAAAGTTCAAGCTCCATCGTCAAATGAAGAAATTAAAAACATCAAAATCTACAGGTTTAGAGATTGAATCTTCGAAGATTCTTAGATTCTCTTGATTACACACTCGTAACGGATAAAAAGATTTTTCTTTATTCGAACCCTTAGAAAAAAATTTCTCCCCTTCCTTTATTAGTTTAAATTCGAAGAAGGAATTATTTCTCTATGCTGACACTGAGATAAACATAATAAACATTGAAGTAGCTGATTTATCTGCCTAAGAGATATTTATGAAACTACAGCATGGCTGATTCCAGTGTTATGTGCACCGCTTGAGCTCTTGGTACAATAAAAGTATAACTCGGAGGTTGTCTTCATCCTTTTTAATTCAGTTTTATCTGGCGGAGACTGTCCTTTTCCAGGGAACGGAAAAAATAATTTTGATTTGCGGACAGCTTGTGTCCTCCATTGAAAGGAAAATAACTGACCCTAAGTCTCAATTGCAGGATGAAGTAATAGGAATACAGAAACATTAAAAATAAACACAAAATTGGAGAGCAAGGACAAAAACGAAGAAAAAAAAGCACGAGAACTTTCATGAAGTAAAAGAACAATTTTAAAATCTAAACTAGACATTTGAAGAGATTTGTTATTTACTCGTGACAAGGGATATACACTGATCTATTGCTCGTTATATGAAATGGTTCCATCGAGATTTTAGTAAAGTAAAATGTATTATTCTTGATTTTTTCAGGCATGTAAAAATAATAATGACAACTTTTGGAAGATAAACCGATCCAGGGAATGGCGGTTTAATAGGTACTAAACAATTTTCATATTATAAATTACTATAGTATAATTGTTCCGATGAGTAGTCTCGGGGATTATTCAACAATATTCACTGAGCCTGCGGTGAATAATTGTTAATCATGACGCTTAATACCCCGAAACTGGACAAGCTTGATCATGAACTTAAGAAGACGTAAGTTTGGCCAAGTTCCTTCTCTGGATTGTTAAGGACCGAGACGATGGTTTCGTCAATGGGGGATATGTTATTCAGAAAAATTATTTATATAAAACAAGAGGTTACCAAAATGAATGAATATGCGAGACTCGTTTCCGGTTATTTTCCGTTATTTTGACTTACAAGGAGATATAGTCGTGGCTCCTTTGTATTTAAAACTATTGGAAAACGTTTTTGTTTGTAAAACAAAAAAATGTCTGGTTAAGAAATTACAAAGTAATGAACCGGCTACTAGCACATCATTTCTTCTTTTTTTCGACTTCAATGTGGGATTCGCCTTAATCTTGTTCGCTCGTCGGTTATACCACATGAAAATAACAAAAAAAAGACGAGAAATTGGAGTAACGAGATAAAGAGCGATGTAACATGAAAATGAAAAATTTAACCCTAAAATTTTAATTATTACGAATTCTTGATCACGTATGAGAATGAAACTCTGCAAACGTTACCATTTGTTAATTTA